AGATGTGTATAAGAGACAATGCATATACATATGCATAACTGTACAGTATAATATACACATACATATACACACATACACACACATACATACATATATACTGTAAATTAAATATTAAATAAATAAGTGTGTGATTATTATAATCATTACTATTGTTGTTACTGATGTCATTTGGTCATTGCCACCAAAACTGTCATCATTGAAGTTTTAACACTTGTCCCATGTGCCAAAACATGTATAAACGAACTTTCTTGCAAGCTTTATCAAGTCACATATCATCAAAATCGACGTTCCGCAAACTATGGTCCAGGGCCCAAATTTGGGACCTGAAACATTTTTTTAGGGCTGCGAAGCCATCTGGAAATTGAAAAAAAAAAATAACAAAAGAGAAGTTTCATCATGGAGAAAATAGTTTTTAATAAAGCCGCTTCATTGTTACAGCGAGTGCGTCGCTTGCACACGCTGCTAAAGTGCCAGATGATGCGTGCTATATGGGTTATAAGCGGTTTTTGTGTCTATACCCTGATCGTCTTGTATTAACCCTGTAAGATTGAGTAAATCCGGTATGGAGGAATGATGGTATGAGTCATGAGCTAAAGATAAAAATAAATATAAGACCTGTCCTAGAAAGATCACTACAGTATAATACAACACCACTCATTTCTTGATAACTGAATGTCCATGTGAACATGGGCATTCTGTATAGTAAGGAGTCTTTCAAAGTTGCGGAGTAACAGAGTGTGCATAAAAGTTTTTGGAAGGAGAAAGCTATGACGTGTGTGACTGAACTGTGTTTGGTTGAATCATGGTAGAAAAAATAACAATTTGGTTGAATCATGATAGAAAAAATAACAATCAACAATTGTTGGGGGGGGGGTAAACACAAATGTATGGTATTATTTATTTAATAACATAATATTTAATTTGTATACAATGAAATTTTATCATTGAGGGAACAGATAATGATGTCAAAATATTGTATATACATGGAGGCTTCATGATCAAACGTTCTTGCCAGGATTTGGTATGTTGGTCCCTGGTGCGGCTGGGCTGCTTGGCCGCGGCTTGGTGCCTGGTATCGTAAATAGGCCATGAAGTAAAAAGTTTGCGGAACGTTGATCAAAATGGTGTGAATCTAATAAATTGGTAGGAAAATATTAGGGAAAGTGTCAACAATGAGACAGTTACTTTTTACTGCCTATGCAGACTTCTCAAGTCAGTAAAATGAATTTCAGTATTTGTCTTCAAATATCCATAGAAAATACAAACTTACTGTAGCAACTAATAATTTGACTTGAGTGCAAAATATGGGTTGCTTCAATTACAGGAACATGATAGTAACAGATTTCAATAAAAATGGGATATGATGAAGACGCAAGGCCACTTTTTTCTTTGTTTTCACAACAATATAGCAATTTGACAAGCTTAAGTTTTCTAGGAACAATGTAACCAATGAACCTGATAGAAAAGTCATTGTTGTAGACTCATAAACCTATTTATTTATGGGTCTAGGTCTATGACAAATTTCTGTAGTATTTTTGTTTATCTCCGTACATCCGTAATAGGCAAAATTTCCATAGCAACCATGGATGTTCTGTAGTACTTGGGAAGTCTGCCTATGCCAAGTACGAGTTTTCTCATCCACTTTTTCCATGGGTTGATATATGTTTTCTCATCCACTTTTTCCATGGGTTGATATATGTTTTCTCA